CATTATCAACATCTTACACTCTTATTCCAACGTCTCTCGGATAATGGATTAGTAGTTAACCCAGACAAGTGTGAACTGGTCAAGGCAGAAATAAAATTCTTGGGTAACATCATTAAGCATGAGAGTATTCTACCTTGTGAAGACAAAGTACGTTCAATTATGGAGTACACTGTACCGTCCTCACTCGATGAACTGAAGGTTCCGTCGGTCTCCCGACGTTCTATTCCTCACGCGGCAGAATAATTACGACCAATATCCTACTTACCTCACGATTATCCACGTGAATTAGAATTGAAAGATGCCACGCGCACTGCATTTTGAAATCAAAACAGCTTTGGCTCAGCCCAAACTCCTCACTCATCCTGACCCATCAGCCATGCTTAGTATAGCGTTTGATGCATCAGATTTTGCTGTAGGGGCTGTAATGCAACAGAACATCTCCGGAAGTTGGAAATGTTAGGATATTCATCCAATATCCTAAGAGAATTATTGGTCAATGCCTATTGATTAATTCCTACTGGTCAATTTTATGGTCGTCCTAGATATCAATGTCACACACTCCAATGTTGTTTCTTATAGGTTATCCTGACTATCAATGTCCTTTCAAATGTTGCTTCCTATTGGTCGTCTTAACTGTCAATGTCACAGACTTCGATGCTGTTTCCTATTCTACCAGAATGTATAAATACGCAATATCTGTAACGTTTTATGACCAGGACCAGGACCCAGTCCCGGATCCCTAGTCCAGGATCCCGATTCTCTTCTGGATTCGGACCTTGTACTTTCTGGATGCTTGTGGAATACAGGTTCTACTTCATACCAAGTCTTCTAATATTTATTCAATATGGGGGTTGGGATAATCGGATTTGAGTAGCATGTCGTGTCACCGGATCCTCGATCCTCAATCTCGTTTTCCGACTAGGTAAACTCGAAATAGTTCAAGCATATCAAGTTGTCGTGTTTACGTGCAGGCGTAACAGGAAACCCCTTGAATTTTCCTCACAACCCTTCACTTCCACGGGGACGAGAAATAGCGCTTCTGGTCGAGAACCCCTAGCAGTCTACTCTGCCATCAAGCATTTCCGAGACGCAGTAGAAGGTCGTGACTCCATCCTGTTCACCAACCACAAGTCTCTAACGTTTGACCGCTTCTCACCACGAGAGTGCAGACATTTGGACCATATCTCTCAGTTCACGACAGGTCTTCGTCACATTAAAGGAAAACTGAACTACGTTGCGGATGCTGTCTCACGAACCCAAATGAATGAAGTTACTTTACCGGTGCTTGATCCCCCTGCTATGGCTGAAAAGAATTTCAAATTTGCTCGACATGGCCGCGTCGAGATCGGTAGCATTGATCGTCTCAAGCGAGCAGACGTCGATGACAGTGCCCTACTCGCTAATCCGAAAACCAACGCTATACCTTTCAAACATACTAGCGGGATCCTTGGAGCCACTTCGGATTCCACGCTCGACAAACCAGAGACCTTATTCTCACATCCCGGTCAATAGCACGCGTCATCTGCATTACCTACGGATGAGACTCCGGTCTCACGTACAGATCAGCAGGCCACGCCCCCTGGCTTCGGATGAGATTGCTGGCTCACGAGGTACGCACGAGACTACAGTCTTGCGTTCCGGTCGCCGTGTACGCCTACCTGTACGCTTCCGCGACTAAGCTCTCAGTGAACAACGGGTACGGCATAGGACTCTATCCTTATACTACATGTATGCTACACATTTCTCTTTTTCTTTCATTTTGTGTCCTCAGAACATGTCTTCGACTATCTCCCTGTTAGTACCGTCGACTTCAGTCAGTCTTGGCAAAAACTGAGATGATCAGTCTATATTCTGTTTCTGAATGTATCTGGCATATGTATGGTCTCGAACTTGGTTGTTGTGGTCGCTTCTGGTTTATTGGCTCATTGTGATCCCGTCCTATGTCTGCAGCGTTTTTGGTCGGTACCCCTGCGAATGCAATCTCCAGACTCTGGATACGAGCCACGCTAGTGTGGTACCTTAACAAATATGGCACGTTACTTATGGTACCATTCTCCGTAAAAGATCTTCGGTGACAACCCCAGCATCGACGGTCACTGCCTGTTTGTCAACTCTTCCGTCCTACAATCCCACGTTTGCCGATCAGTGTAAAGCCTTACTAGGTAGGGGGTGCTCGTGCAGTGATCTAATTTTATGAATAGAGCGCGGTTGGTGTAATAGAAACATTTATTATTATAGGCAATTGTACCAATGATTGTTATACTGAGCCCTTTCGTTTGATTGTACCAGAAACACACATTTTCCAATGCTTGTGAACTTGACCTTGCTTATATATGCACTGTAGTCTCTCCTGTAAACCTTGACACGATCTCAGTATAATTTCTCCAACTTTTCTTCGAATATCTATTCTACAGAGGGATTTGACACGCACACACAATAAATTGCCCAAATAAAACAATGTCGATTCAACTGACAGAAGTGAATAACATGGATGCAACAACTGAAAGCAATTGGTTGGGTAAACAGATGCAGTAGTAGGATTAGATTTTGTACGACGCTGACTGGTCAGCTGTTGATGACGTCACCAGAGTGACTTGCAGTAACACGAAAAACACAATATGGTGGGACTATGGTTTAGCATGGCATATACTTTTATACGTATAACAGCTCGTTCCCTCATACATCGCAATAGCGGATAGAGTAACAGATCATTCTGATATAAATGATATTAAGTTGGAAAATCACCTACTCCTTTGCGCTAACTCGCCTTCATAATGTTTCCATTCATACAGTACTCCTTGACTAATATTGATTATAATGACATAGGCACAAGCAACTTGGATATTAGCCATTGTATTTTACTGTTGTAAATTAATACACACGATGATATCAAACCACACACCACGACGAACCACAGCTAATTGCGTTTATCGCACGATCTTGGTAACATTTCGATACCGCGAGATCGCCAACAGATATGTATGCATTTCTACATCAAATCTACTTCTTGGTTTTGTTCTGCGGACGGGTTTTACCCGGTAACTGGAACGTAATTGGCCTTTAGTGGTAATCACAGTCGACTGCGACTCATCCCGCTTAAATTCAGCGCTATTCCGTTTGTGAATCGATAATGCCCAGCACCATATTCAGCACAATATATTCATGAAACGAAGGTTCTCCTGATTCAAAGCCTTATTGGAGAGTATCCTTTTGGTCTGCCGTGGCTTGTGAAGCTGACGTAACCTAAGAATTCGGAATACTCGGAGCAAAACAAGTCTGAAAGTAATTTGACATCTTATCTACCATCCTCATCTTCTTTTATATTAGCTGCCTGATTTACAACGTTTACGTTACTTTTTTGCATGTCACTTACTTTCGTCAACGTTGTGTGCCTTCGTCCAACTCTGGCAGTATCTTTGAATCTCTTTTATCTAAGTTCTCGACTGAAGTATTTTCCCTTTAAGCAGATAAAACAATCTAGTTTACCTTACGAAATCCAATCTCTACGGTCTATCAGCGTCTTTGAATTTTCCACATTGTTAAAGGATGTGATTTTCTGCACATAGCTTGTTCAGCAACTCTTTCTCTTCACATTACTTGGGAAGAACTTGTAGCGACATTATCAAGTTAAGTCCCAGTACATCCAGAAATCAAAAGGTAGACTATGACTGGATGAAGAGGTGTATTGATGCGCGGTCTCGTGATACCGAAATAGTATCAAGACCGGAATAAAGGGGCAGCTAACAACCACCGAGGAGAAACGCGAAATGGGAACTACACGCTTGGCGCGTGAGTTAAAGTCTTTAGTACAGTCAAACAGAAGGAGTACAATACAACAATTATTGTTAAAATTAAGTACAATAATAAATGTTTATATTTCAGCAACTGTGTTTTCTTCGTAGAAGCATACCACTACACAGGGTTGCTAGGACGGTCGTTTACGTAGTAAAGAAGTTGTAAGCTATCAGTGTATGCGACTAACTATGATTTTCAGATCTACTTAGGTCGAACAGAAATGATTTGAGCCAGTTTACGCAGAAGCGACACCTTGGGGGTAACACCTGATCTAGCTATTCTTATTATAATAATCTCGATGGCTGGCAAGAATAAACATAATCCTGCCTAAGAAATGTACTATCGGAAGAGATTAGAGAGGTACAAAATAAATCCTTTGTTCGATGTGCCATTGTATGATGTGAAACTTCATCATTCGAATAAACGATAACAAGGAGAGCGATACCTAGATAAGATAAAGAGGAAAGTAACGTTGACCTATGTTTTGATGCTTACTTTCAGCAGTGAGTCGTATAAGTTGGTTGTTCTGATTGGTAGCTTACTGGTAGCTGCTCTATGATGCCACTTCTATATATTACAAATTTGACACATTCAGCTTAACTAGTCTCATCAAAAGAATGTCTGAAGTGGTATGAATATTCAGAAATTCTTTGAGTGCTCTTCAGTCCTTCTAGTTTAAGCTTTCAGTCACGTTGTTCTTGCATGACACACTACATTACTCACCAATGCTGTGACAACTATTGGTCCCATAGATTCTGCTGACCTGTGAAACAGTAACAAAAGAAGCCTAAAACGAAAAGAAAGTAATGGTGACAACCATACTACCATACTACTTTATTAAATGATTTTAAAAACCAGTAACTGTCCCTCAGCTGAATGACAAAGGATAAGAAATCAGTTGGTTGGTACTTCATTGACACAAAGACATTAGATGCGTAAGATAGTCAGCTGAGGGCACAACGACCCACTCAGTGAATGGATTCAAGAGGGGAGTTGATAAACACACATGGACCACCACCTCCCTCTTGAATCAGCTGCTTCTAATGCTTGTCACTATTAACCTTAGTATTAGAATTTTCTCTTCACTATTTCTCGCATTTTTACCAAATGACCTGCTTAGTTATGTGGTAGCTGTTAGTATCCAGAAACCTTACTATCCTGAGACAAACATACAGGCTCGAATTACAAGGTAAGATTTTGGAGCTGTTTTAATTGATAGTGCTGCTACGGGCGCTGTCGTCGTATCTCGCTAGAGCTTTACCGGTTTTTTCAGCTTATACTTCGGAATTTGTACAGACACACTTCATACTGTTTTCATTTTTGAATATTTTGATACAATGGAGTTCTAAATATGCTTCCTAAGTACTCAAGCCAATCTGCAATAATCTTCAAGAGAGAAACCCTTTCCACCGATGGAAAAGTCACTAGTGCGCTTTCCTATGAACGCTCAGCGCCCCAGCAACTCCGAAAGAAGAGGTTAGCCATTATTTAAGCCAAAATCTTTTTGTAGATGGCAAAATGTGCATCAGCCAGCCGGTATCTTCATCAAGCCGGAAGTCCTGCCCAAGCAGATCTCAGGTCAGAAACAGGCATTCCAAGCAAAGTTCCAAACGGCATGTAGATTTGGTGACTGATTACAAGACAAGACCAGACCGTATGAACTTTAGATGTTCAGAAAGTGAAAAGTCACTCGAAATTCAAGTAGATGGCTATGTGCAAGTCTCGTGAGTAGTTTGTATATTACTGATGGTGTTTTTAGAAGCCAGTTTGTTCTAATTCCGGGTTCCACATACTTCAAAACTAATAACGACGGGAGTCCTCCACAATGGGAGGAAGTCTCGTTCGTGAAAGTTCTGAACAAAGGCGATTTAGTGTGCCCTATATGTCTATATCCTCCCGTCACGCCACGAATGGGAAAATGTGGACATATCTACTGTTGGCCCTGTGCATTACAATATATAAAATACGAAAATGAATCCGACATCAAGAAGTGTTCTGTCTGTCCGTCCCTGTTGGCGCTTAATGAGTTGAAGAGGTAATCATGTGTCTTGCCTCACTAATACTGTAGGGTATCCTTAACCTGTATTACCCCAACGAAGGTCGGTGACGAGATACGTTTGGAACTAGTTAAGCGTTCAGGACCTTGTGTAACTCCTCTTTTATCTCAAACTTGTGAATCTACATCTGGGCCACTTTTCGAGTGTGTATGCGTCGCTGATCCAATAACAATAAAGAACATTCACGAGTCTGAGATTGATGAACTTCGTACGTATAGAACTATTTGTGAAGTAGATGAAAACAACATGGAGCTGATTCCGTTCATTGACTTTGTATTTGAAGAGCTGAGTCAGGAAGAATTGCTTCAAAAACCTTGCAGTAACAGTTCAGCTAAGCCTTGTGAATCTTGCAGTCAAGATATTAATGAAGTTTCTACAAATAAAACCTACTTTTACCAAGGTAAATGTAATCTTCGCTAACATACTGTTTAGCTGCAAATAGTCAACCTATTTTCTTGGATAGCCTAGGTTGGCGATGTCTGCTAACCGAGTACACAGAGGTGCAAAACCTTCCGAAAGAGATTGTCGCAACTGTCGTATCAACCAGAAGTTTTCGGATGAATCCAGTAAGTCACTACTCTTTTTTATGGACCACAAGGTGTAAAACACACTGGCCTATATTAGACTGGTTACAAATTGGCATCATGTATTGGTTGGTAACATCCATTTCTTTTAAGAAGTTATACTCAAGCTTTTGACTGATCGGAAAATTCAGTAAACTGGTTTCTTGATAACTGACCCTTTTCGAATCTCACTAGTAGTTTTATGTGGGTGTTCTTTGTTCATCACTCCGTTCTTGACATACTCAATTAGCAGGCGCTTCAGTTGGCAGATACAAACCATCAACGCCCTGTACGTGTGACATCAATTCTTGAATATTTTTAGATAGTGGATGAATAAGGTTTTATTATAGATGAGACTTAGTTTTTTTCATACATTTATTAATTATAATTAAAAATGCCTTGTCAATATATCTTTTCTTTCAAGTCTTTACGAAAACCACTGAGATACCTGAACCATTTACCTGACGGATACGCTTTCAATTTAGTGGAAATAAAGCTAGAACCACCGTTGGTATCTGAGCTAACACTATCTCATTTTGCAACAGCTTTGAATAACCGTGCATTGGAACGAGATCGAAGTCGTCTTGAGGATCTGAAACTCACTGAGCTGAAAGAGGCAGCTGAAAACCAATTTATGTCATTGCGTAAGATAATTGTTAATGAGTTGGTTTTTTAAAAAAAGGAATAGGTGTAGTTTTTACACATTTGAGAGGAGTAATAATTCTATAATATGTTATCCAAGCATTTGCTCCTAATACCTAATTGTTAGTACAACCCTTAACCAATTATTCTTCATTACGATATCCACCCAAATTTGTCCATATTATGATTGTAACTTCCGATGGCTTGGTTTGATGAAATAACTGAATATACCCATTTCCCTATAAGTACACCCAAATGACGTGATTACATACATCCACCACTTTACTATAATGAACTAGCACCCAAAGCATCAGCAAATGGAGATTCGTTTCTTTAACTGAGTCGTTTAGTCTCAGCTTGCAATGTCTTTCTTTGCAATATCACAAACTTTTGTCTAAAGTTTCGGCTGATGTCTAGGAGAACAATAAAGGCCTCATTATCAAACTACCCAATTAATAAATCGACATTCTACTATAAGTATAAGAATTCTTTACGAATTTCGTGGCTGCAATTCTGGTCTTTCTGGTTTGAGATAGTTTCCAGAAAGCTTTGTTATATCGTAAACTTGTCTCAAGTTTCCTCTTGCGGCCTTTGCTAGATCTTTCACATATTTTCGTTTATCGGCTCTGATGCTCTTCACTCTCCTGTTTGCTTATGTGTATTCAACTTGTGCCTTAACTTTCTCTGCTCTTGTTCGGCTGATGTTAATTGCTGACTTCTTGTCCCTTGTTTCTTCAATTTTTTCAAGAGTATCAACAGAGATCCATTCCTTGTGATGGTACTTTCTGTGACCCAGAACCTCGTGACATGTCGAAGTGATTGCCTCTTTGGTCCCTTTCTAATTGTTCTCCATGGTTTTTTCCTTTCCATTGAGTAGACCGTGCAAGGCCTGAAATCTATTGCTGAGGGCTATCTTGAATTCGTTAAATTTTACGGTATCCCGAAGAAAGGCCGTATTAAACATTTGTGACCAGCAAGTGGTGATCTGAGGATATATCAACTCGTCTCTTAGTTCTCACATCCTCCGTGGTCCTTCCGAACTTTTTATTGATACAGATATGGTCGATTTGGTTCTGAGTAGTGTGATCCGGTGAAATCCATGTAGCTTCGTGTGTGCGTTTGTATGGGAATATTGTGCCTCCGATGACCAGTTTGTTCAAGGCACATAGGTTTGAAAATCTCTCACCGTTTTCGTTCCTTTCTCCTAGTCCATGTCGTCCAATGATGTCTTCATATCCAGTGTTGTCCATGCTAACCTTGGCATTTAGGTATCCCATCAGTATTGTCAAATCCTTTGGTGAGCATTTGTTGACGGTTGACTGCAGCCTTTCGTAGAATTGATCTTTATCGTCGTCATTAGATGAAGTTCGTTGTAATGTCTCGCGGACCTTGACCAGGAAGTCTACATCTACCAACTGGACTCAATCCACTTGTCATTAACTTCATGGATTTGTGCCATTTTTTAGTTTGGCCGCCCCTAGCTTTCTTCCAACCTACTCCTAAACCACAAAACATCACTCGTCGAGGCAGTCGGTAGTTGGGCATTCGTAACACTTGTCCCAACCACCTCAACTGAAGTTTCAACACTTCATTTATTGATTTGCTATCCGTACCTATTACTCGTTTCCTAACAACAGCATTGCTCCCTCGGTTGTCCTAGGATATAAGAGCAGTGCTTGGGAGACACCTATGATCAAAGACAAGCTACCTACGGATGTCCTCTACTCTCACCGGCCATGTTTCGCATCCATCTTAATTTAGAGTAAAAGCTTGACTCCTTAATGAAGTCTGTATGTCAGACAAATGGTATTCTGTAGTACCTGTCCTCTGTTTTACGGTGAGTATTTTCTGATGTTTGTTTCAGACAGTTAAGTGTTTGATAGTAATTAGTTGGTTTATGGTTAGTCAAAGACCAGTCCGAAATATGTGTCAGTAATCGGTGCTGAAGTAAAACCTTCAGGTAATATAATTTGACTATACAGAAATCAGACATTCTTCGTATTTTTAGCGTTTCATCTCTTTTAAATATAAAGTAATATCGGAGGGCGGATTCAAAATGTAATGCCCTGACCGATTCACCTGTTGGTTGCTTTTGCGCCTGTGGAGTGTAATCTTTAACGATAGAAAATGTGTGTAAAACTCATTTATTCGGTGATAGGTATCTTCCTCTCGTACTGTAAAACCGAATGGGAAACAAACCATTGCTGATGCTGGCACTTAGAGCTACGATGCACTGTGTAGGGTAAGTATACGTGCGGAATACTTCCAGACTGATGGATATCAGTCACTGAAAATCAAGACTGGGTTTGAGCACTGCTGGACGGTACAGACTCATTGATAGAGGTCTGCAAGTTAATCATTACCTATAGTTAGAGTAGCCAGTTGATATTCTATATTAGTGCAAGCGTATAATATTTCATAATCTCTTATTTCATCGTTTTGTGTCCGTTACCTCTTAGTTTGTCACCGTGCATAATTTTCACTCCTCCCCATGATAATTTCAGACTTTATGATGTAAATTATGCTAGTGTAGATTGATATACAATTTTACTTTTGTGTTTGATGTCATCTTCTGTAGTATTGCGTTCCAAGGAAAAAAACCATATCTAATTTTTAAGTTTTTCCATGATAAAGTAAACTATTTTGCACAACAATCTAAACTGTTAGCATGTTGTACTAAAGTACTGTTTACATAACTTTTAGCTCCGGGCTTTGTTCTCAGTGGTCATGCAACCTTATCACATAAACAAGGTAGGTTACCTATTATTCTAAAGTTTATTTTTCATAGAAGCACAACTTGATCCGTCAAATTTTGTCCCACTGTCATCTGCAACGCAAAATACCAAATGGAAAAACACTCTACCAATTAGTTTTGCTGAAGTAAGTAATCATTTCTCAACCAATTTTTCGCAAGTCTAAAAATAGGATAGATCGAAACGATGTAACTCAAAGGTTGGTGTGCTTATAATAAAGCATTAAAAACAAGAAACTTAGATTTAATCGTCGGTCAGTCTCTGATGGGGATAATTCTCGGTGTAGAAACGATCTCTTTAGCTGAATCTCGTTTCGCACTTACAGGTCAAAGTTATCAAGATATTTAGCTACTGGTCAAAAAGCAAGGATACGACGCATTATTCCACCTCACTCTACAACACTGATTTAATACAGCTCCTAATAGAAGATTTTTATAGCAATTTGACAACAGTTATCTTTGATGCATCTCTTTTGTGTAATAGAGTTGCAGTTAGCTATAAAGGAATTTACTTACTGGATATAGGTATCTATGTTCACATTTTAGTCACTGTATTTGTAAGTGGTAGTACTCGACTTCCGAGCCCGTAGAACAAGAATCAAACATGTGATGAACCCACGTTTTGTACACTTTATCAACTAAATCACATTATTGTTTTCAGTTTAGCAAATTCTTTCTACTAACAATTCTGCTTTCTGGTAAAACAAACTACACGTATTTAGGTTTCTCGCTCTGGTGCACTCAATGTTGTTGGTCCAGATCGTGTCGCTCATTTCTCCCGAAGTCCTCCGAATCCAACAGATCCTAAGGGCTTCGATATTAATTCTGAATATTGGCCTACTCTGGGTCAGGCTTCGAAAAGCTGAAGAAATTATTCAACGGACGTAATTGGTCAGTTTCTAACTTACTCGAGTTCCAAGTAAACTATATATTATATCTTACAAAACGGACAAGATTTTTTGCTGTGGCTTGGCAAGCCTATTGTAACGCTTAAAAGGTTTTCAGATGAGGTATTTATGACTGTAACTTAAGAAATACATGGATATGCTTACAGATTAGTCGTTTTTTCAACTAGTCATACCAGTCCGGTTGCTCAAGGTTGGGCCTAGTTTGCTGATTAGCTTCCGTTACGATAAGTTTTGTAATGCACCCAATCTTGTATTCAATAATATTTAACTGAACAGACTGCGAAAGCCTTAGGCGGCTGTTAGGTTATTTGGTTCCCAAAGAAAAATGAGCATTCTTAGAAAGTAAAATGTATGGTTCCATAACATAAGCTTAATAGGTAATAAATACATTTTGGAATCAAGATGTACAAAAAAATGCACTCAGCATATTTAATGTACTCCCCCATACGAAAGCGTGTGAGTCTCCAATGTTGCACTTGCACAAGTTCACGTTGATAGTTTATCATTCCAATAGAATTATTGCGTTTTAAGTGAAGACGTTACTACGCGAAATCATTAGGTATGTGAACAAATGGGACAGCACCTGACTAAAAATGTAAAAAAAAAAATTAAAAAAAGACTTTAATTAGTTTAATACATATTTTTTTCCAAACAAGCAAGCCCACACGCGTTCTTTAGCAAACGTGCAAATGCATGATCAATACTGGGAGGATTTAAACTTCCCTCAATATTGCCTAGATTACATTTATTTCTTGACTGAATGCAAAAGCAAACGTTAAGGCTATTGTTTGACTCCATTAAATTATTTCGAACTACATTATAAATCAAACAAAGCAATACATAAACCACTTGACGATTGGTCACTTTAAATGAGATTTACTACAGAAACTTACAGTGAATCCCATTATTGGTCCATCATCTAATTTACGTGTATGTGGTGCAACTCTTGAAGAAAACTGACTTAGGCACGCTGAAAATCCAATGCACGTTTCCCATGGAATATGGATTAGTGTGACTCCAAAGTCTTTGCGCCATGAATCAACCAACTGTGTTGTGTTCCTGTGATTAAAAAACAAAAAAACTGTCTTGGTAACAAAAAGTATGTAGATTGGAATGGTCGTTTAGAGAGAGTAGCATCATCTCTGAATTAAGTAAACAGAATGGTCAAGAGTATGTTTTGTTGCTAATGTATTGAAAGAAGCAGCAGTCACTAACGAGAGAGTCCCCCTAAACATTGATACAATTAGTTAATTTATATGTTTCTTCGAATTAGCTGGACAACACCGTCATACTGAAGAATCACCACTATTTAAGCCAGTTAGGGGTGTATGATTTACAACAATTCATAATCATCATTAAGGACATTGTGGGTCTTGTAACAGAATGATAAATGGAATTTCGTTTGTCAGTAGTTTGATCTGATTCTGAAAGAGCTGTTTACAGTTATAATAATTATATATCCACTTAATGAAAACTTCATAATCAGTGATTTATAAATGTCGATGAAATAGTGTAGGCTCCAAAAAGATGTAATTTTCAAAATGCAAGTTTTGTTTATTTGGCTTTGAGTTACAATGTAACATGTTAATGAGAAACTTCAGTAACCCGAACCGAAATAGGTGCACTGCGTGCAGATATTCAATTCAGTGGTTTTAAAAACAGTGCTTTAATTACCAAGCTATCGCTTCATACAACTGTCTAAGAGCCAAATTCTGACCAGTTTATAGTTGACATATTAGCCGAATTCATATGTGAGTTTGAAGTTATACAGCTTCGTTAATAGATAATCAGCTTTTGTCAAGACTTGTTACAACAAACTGATGTAATTCGTTTAGGGCGCACAAAAAACTTATGTAAACTAGTGAAATCCTTGGGTAATACAACATTTTAAACGATGGTAAATGTGAACCCCTTTCACTAACTTAAACAGTATCTACTGATTAAAAGCAACCAAAGCGTCGATGATGCTTAACCTATTTATTCAGTGTCATGGGACCTAAACCAACCGATAAAATACCAGATAGACGATCGAAATTCATTGATACTTCAATGGTAAATGTTTACAACTGATAGTATTAACCAATAGTTACTTGCCAAACGGAGAAAATATCCCAATTAAGAGGACAAAGTAATTGTTATAGTCCTTTGTGATCAGCAATGGATTTTTGAAGTTGATACTAAACGTTGATGGGAACTTCCTGAATGTTTATCAATCCTCTAAAAACCACCTGATATTTTTTGAAAGCACACACTGCCTGGCTTTTTTCAGCAATGTCGAGAAGTTTAATTAATAATAGACTACTTTACTACATTTTATGTATATCATTCAATAAGTAGTACTCCATCTTTTTGTTTTGATTACTAAGTAGTAACTGATGTTATGCTCTTTGCTGCTGATCGAATTTTACTGATCAGTAGATTTCAGTGTGATCACCAGTCTAATAAACTTAGCATTGTGTGTGTTGTTTTGATGGTAGGTGGTTGGGGGTAATCAAAAGGAAGCCTTGGACTTATGTTTTGTGCTAGTGAATACTTGTCAACAGGGCATACCTGCAACCTTACAGCAATTCGATCAGACACAGCTTCTTTGACACTAAGGACTGGACAAACATGACATTGTTCGTTAACCAGTGATCGACCAATGTAAATATTCCAATCCTATAGGTAAATTACGGCCTAAATAGTTTAGTGGCAGCGTAGCAAACTGCGGAGCTATGTGGTGCCGGACTCAAACCCCACAGGGAGCATCAGTTCACCGGAGATTGCAGGTTCATCCTGATGACTGCTAATTAGGACAAAACCTAAGCTCACTATCGCCTCAAGACTGCCTTTAATTGCGTGACATTATATAGCTTCACCAATATAATCGGACCGCAATTCAAATAAATCGAAATTTTTGTTTTCTTGTAATGAACAATTGTTGTTTATCTACCAAATATACACCACTTATTATTTTCTATCTCAACTGATGTATTGAATGTTGCTAGAATGCAATATTAAGATGCTTAAATATCAGCTTAGCTTTAATACTAGTAAAAGAAATTTTTTTAAAAAAAACGGACAACTTACAATGAACAATTATTATTCGGTAAAAGTTGTTGATAAAATACACGACGGCAAGCAATTGGTTCAATTTTCAAGGAATGTACAGGATTTTGTTCATCTTTTTCTGATGAACTCACATTGACATCTATTGTCGGTGAAGTAGAATCTTGTAAAGCAGTTGTATATAATCTTATTTTCTGATCAGGTAACCAAAGCTAATAATGGCATAATTTTATCAGAAAAAAACAAAAGAAATGTGGATTAGTTTTTAAATAAATATAATCTGATACAAATAATGTGTTAAGTTTTGAAGAAAGATTCACTATTTCTCTATTAATAGGATATTAATTTTTTGATCATAGGTGTCTTCGAAGCATTGCTCGTATACCGTGGGACACCCGAGTGAGCAACACTGTTATTAGGACACGGGTGCTAGGTAAGAATGACAGATCAATAGATGAAGTGATGAAACTTCATCAGTTGAGGTGGTTGGGACATGCGTTGCGTATGCCCAACCACCGACTGCCTCGACGAGCTATGTTTAATGGTGTAGGAGTAGGTTGGAAGAAAGTTAGGGGCGGTCAAATCAAAACATGCCAGAAATCCATGAAGTCATTGACGAGTGGACTGAGCCATGTCGGTAATTGTCGACTACCTGGTTGGGGTCCGTGAGATGATAATAATCGATGGTTAGAGACCTTGAATGACATGGCTCAAAATCGTTCGCAATGGCGTCGGTGCATTTATGCTTTGTGTTCTCTCAAATGCTAATCTTCTGGATTCTTCAACAACTCTAGTTTTGACTTTCTAAACTTATCTCACTGAACCATACTTCTTGAATAATATCTTCTAATCCTAACCTCTACGATTACTTCTGATATCTTTACTACCTCTTCTACTGAAGTACTTACGTACGAAGTTCTACGTTGCATCTGACTGACTGAATGTGTTAATAGTGAAAAACTTAGTTTTCTTTTTAAATTCACTACTCTCAATGACCAACGAATATAATCATTTTGTGCCTGTTTCACTCATACATATGAATTGAGATATTCCAAGTCTGGTTTAATAAATAATTCATTCTACGGATAGAATTCCAACTGTCATTATAACAATTGAAAGAGAACAATGTGCATTTCGATGCTAAAGCATAAAATAGTTAGGATCTAGTATGTTAACGAATTTCCTTTTATAGAGATTTGTAGGATATATTAGTCAGGTTCCTTTTCATCAAACTGCACATAGATTGAGTTTATATCTTCCACGGTAAACAACGAACTTGGTTGTGTCTACATCTATCGCATATCTGAAACTTGTATTTCTTACATCGATTAAAACGTACATGTCGGTCACCGCACCTACTGTGGTTTTTACGAGTGGGAAAAATTAAGTGAATTATTGCAGTTTCGGTGTATGAAATGGTACAAAATAGAGAAAAAGTTAACGTGCTCGCTCAAGACCTGAAAGTCTCAAGTACTATAATCAGCGTAGTTATGAACTCGCTTTGAAGAATTCCGGCCGTACTAGGACGATATAACCGTCACCTGAATCGTCATTAGTTTTCAAGTTTCTAAGGTAATTATATTCTATGACAAAAATCAACTTAACGATCAATTAACTATAAATTGCTCTGCTATTAGTAAAGTTTGGAAAATGTCAAAAGGTTTAACCTATCAAGATCACGATCCAATCTAAGTTAGACAAATATTGAAAACCAGGAATGATTAGACTGATGTTGTCCTTGTATAAGGCTCTTTGGTAGTGTTCATCGACAACCTTTAGGTTTTGCTCTGAGAGTTTAGTGTTTAGACCACTCAGCTGGTATCCAATGGTTTATATGTCTATTTTCAGTTGACTTGCGATATTATGTAATAATCTTTTATTGTCTTGGGTGGATAAGTGTCTCATATCTGACAAGGTTGAACTTCTTTAGTTAAAGTTTCTCATTGGAACTCAGAAAAACTTCCTCTTGAAGTGAATCACAAGTGGGCACATAATAATTATTAGTATGAAGATTTGTGGAGGTTGTTATTTTTGATCTCCAGTGAGATTGTGAGTGTACACAGCTGAAAAGACTCATACTGGGACGAAACTGTGGTTCCTGTTTTTAATGGCTGATTTGGGTTGGTTCATAATCTCAGTAACAGTTAACAATCTTCACGAACCGTCGTACGTATAGTTTTAACCTTAGTCTACATATATATATTATATAGGTAATAATTGTCCCTCATTGGAATCATGAATCGATCTATGTTAGACCACCATTAGAAACCTGGGAGCACTGGACGACCGTTTTGTCCTGGTATGGGATTCATCAGAAGTGCGTATCCACGACTCCTGTACCTCACAGGATCCGAACTCAGGACCTTCGGTCTTGAGCTCAAATCTTGTGCGCTAGTGACTATCTCCATGAGGAATCCTCTCCGAGTTCTAGTGAGAAGCTGTGACCAGTGAAGTTCGACCTATCCGGGCGTAGACAGTAACTACCGAGGACAGTGTATGAGGTTGCGCAAGACCGTGGATTGATCGAACCTAGACATTAACATTGTTAGATACCGGCTCAATGGTTCAGAGGTTAGGCGTTCGCGCGTAAGACCGAATGCCCTGGGTTCGAATCCGGCGAGGTGCAGGAGTCGTATATAAGCACTGCTGATGAGTCCCATGCCAGAACAAAACAGCCGTCCAATGCTTCCAGGTTTCTAATGGTGGTCTAACATTGATCGATTCATCATTTCAATGAGTGACTTAACAATCATCACAACACCGTCATGTAATAACTGTTCCTTTATTTTTAAAGCATCATAAATTCACTTGATAAAAATCAATGAACAGATTTAAAAAAACTAACAATTAACATACTTTACACACCAGTTAATATCTTTTTAAGAC